TGTTACCTACGAAGTTAGTGCAAACCTCAGCAAGGAACTTTTTGCACTCTTCCTGGACCCATCATTTTGCATAAGGGGGTGAGCAATAGGAAAATCGTGAAAAAAATGGGCGTGGGAAAGTGTAGTGTAGACGATTTTGTATTGAATGGTATCTTTGAGACTAGCCATGCAGAGATGTGGCCAAAGATGCAATTAGCCGGTCAGACCCATCTTATCACGGATCGTCTTCGTCATACCATTGTATGGTAAAATCACGAATTGAGCAGCCAAATCTAGCATAGACACCGCGAAACTGAGGGTAACGTTGCACGGTTGACTTTGCACCCTTGCAGCATTAAAAACACACTAGGGTCCACGGGTCTAGTCATGGTGCAGCAGTCGTAGAAGCTATGACTGTTCTGGAAAAATATCGGGGCCCGCTGCTATTCGTGAAGTCGCATGCTGAGTGGACAGTTAGTGTTCGAAAGCATGTAATATGGTCAAATGGGACCAACATCAACGGCTTCAGCTCTAATGGCCGCGCGTTTGCCTGGATTCGTGAAGGCACAACCCTGCAGTACCACTAAACCAAACAGATGGTAAACCATGGGGACAAGGATCGGTGATGGTGTGGAAATGTATGACAAATACAGGGGTGGGGTTCATATGCAAGATTGACGGACGCATGGAGAGGCCCCTGTATGAGGGCATTTTGCATGACGAACCTGAATAGACCCTCCATTTCTATAGCATTTTCCTTTCTGAGGTCATCTTGGTGCAGACAATGACCCCATGAATTTGTTATACTTAATGCAAGAATGACTTGGAGAACATGAGTATGTAGCCTGGGAGTGTCCTTCTTTCTCATCAAACCTTAACCTCAGGGCTGGCTTGAAAAGGGAGCTAGCCGAGCATAAAAGGCCTTCCTCTAGAATGCTGGAGCCTTAAGACCTGGTCTAGGAAGAATGGGAGAAGATCCATGCCGAGGTTTGCTCTAGCCTCATCGACAGCTCGTCTAGGAGGGTGTGGGAGGTGATGAAGGCCAAAGGTCGGTGGGCTAGAAACTAGAAACACACTCTTGGACTTTGCTCTCTCTGCTTGGAACTATTTGTCCGGATGTATCCTTTGTATACCTTTTGGGATATGAGTTAGATCCAATATACTATTCTGGATGTTTGTGCTATGAACACATCCACTATGTGTTCCTCCCAAATCGTACCACCATAAAACATCAAGGCTTAATGTATAGTGGTCTTAAAGCCTAAAAACCCAAATTTATGCAAAACATACGGACAATAGTTTCCGCCACTGTAGCAGTCCTAATCTGATCCATGTCAAGCTCAAAACAGGCACACGGCGGCGGGCCAGGGCGTACCAGTAAGGAGGGTCCGAGGTGGGACCAAAGCAGAGACGGTAGAGGTCGTCGAGGCGGCGGTAGCAGTGGGCGGCAGTGTGACCTGGACGGTCGCAGATGATGCCGTGGCGGGGGCCGGTCTGAAGCTGGTACTGGCAGGTGGCCACACTAGAGCCGCCATCCAACACCGAGCTGCGCACCCCACGACCACGACCACCACCACTAGCGCCTAGAGGCCACCATGGCGGCGGAGGCACGACGACTGCTGCTGCTACTATGACAGCTGCTGCTGAGGCCGCTGTTGCTGCTGCTAAGGCTACTGCTGCTATTGTTGTTGCTGCTGCTGCTGCTGCTCTGGGGCACCAGCCCCAGTCCCCTCGTCTGCACCACCGTCCCCGCCACCACCTCCACCACCCCCACCACCCTTCCCCCCTCCACGCCCCCCCTTGGGGTGGCAGCCCTTACCCTGATGTTGCTGCGCTGAGGCCGTGGCGGCGGTCTCAGCAGTAGGGCCTGTCTCAGCAACAGTGGTAGAAATGTCAGAGTAAGTGCACTGGGAGGGAGCACAGCCCGGGAAGATAGGGACCGGCGCAGTACCGCTAGACTGAGCGAAAGTGCGCTGGCGGGTCTCTATCGCGGACAGGGCAGTGACAAAGGCAGAGAGAGTGAGGTCACATGGGTGCTGACTAAGGAAGTAGTCACGGACAGTGGCTAGGCGGTCAGGCAGGCGCATAACAATGAGGTAAAGGGACACGCAAAGCGACGACGGAAATGCAGTGAGCTGTGCCTCAGTGCTAGCGGCGCGGTAGGTAGTCTCCAGTGCTCGGAGGTGAGTGGCAAGGTCAGCGACAGTGGGGAAAGATGCAAGGTCAGGGAACAGCATGGGGAGGGTCAGGCGGCTGGCAGAGGCGGAGGTGGGGGTGGAATAGTGCGCGATGACATCATCTAAGTATTCCTTGGCGTTCGCTACCGTGGTAGGGGGAGGTCGTGACTTATGGCAAGCTGAGCAACGGCATCGCACAAATCCCAGGCAGTGCAGGCAAGCTCAGCAGCGACAAAAGCCTCACGCTCAGCAGACGTGGGGGCGTTAGGGAGGGCAGCAGGTGGGGCAGGGCGATGGAGCTTATCGTCGACATGGACGGCCAGGGAGTGGCCGTCCTGGCGCTGCCCGGTCAGCTGGCAGCGGAGGTCGATGAGCCACACCTCAAACTCAACAATCCGACCCTCTGCGGCTAGGCGGAGCAGAGAGTCCGCCATCACCACGGCTGCAGCAGCTGACTGCCGCTGACAAGCGGAGGAGGAAAGGAGGAGGAGGGTGGCAGAGAGCGGTGGAGTGCGGTGGACTGCAGTGGAGAGCGGTGGAGTGCGTGGAAGCAGCCGGCGGGGCAGCCGGCGGGAGCGCCGACTGAGAGGAGGAGCCAAGGCCGGCTGGCAGCTAAAGGCGGGCTAGCGGCAGCAGGTGGGCTGGCGGCAACGGGCGGCTAGCAGCGGCAGGCGGCTGTCAGCAGCGGGCGGCCAGCGGCGACGGGCAGCGGCTGGCAGCAGCGGGCAGCCAGCGGGGACGGGCGGCTGGCGGCAGCGGGCGGGTGGCGGCGACAGGCGGCTAGCGGCTACGGGCGGCTGGCAGCAGCGGGCAGCCAGCAGTGATGGGCGGCTGGCGGCGACGAGCGTCCAGCGGCTACAGGCGGCCAGCGGTGACAGTCAGGCTGGCGGCAACGGGCAGCCAGCGGCGATAGGCGGCCAGCGGCTACAGGCGACGGGCGGCCAGCGGGCTACGGGCGACGGGCGGCCAGCCGGCTACGGGCGTCGGGCGGCCAGCGGGCTAGGGGCGACGGGCGGCCAGCGGGCTACGGGCGACGGGCGGCCAGCGGGCTACGGGCGTCGGGCGGCCAGTGTTCTACGGGCGTCGGGGGCCAACGGGCTAGGGGCGACGGGCGGCCAGCGGGCTACGGGAGACGGCAGCCAGCGGGCTACGGGCGACGGGGGCCAGCGAGCTACGGGCGACGGGCGGCCAGCAGGTTAAGGGCAACGGGCGGCCAGCGGGCTACGGGCGACGGGCGGCCAGCGGGCTACAGGCGACGGGCGGCCAGCGGGCTACGGGCGACGGGCGGCCAGTGGGCTACGGCTAGGAATAGGGCGGAAGTGCAGGTGGGCGGGATCCTAACCTACTAGCGGGTTACCTCAGAGTAACATGTTGAATAGAATGGGAGGTATAAGGGAGTTTTGTCTAAGGGGTTGTACTCTCTATAGGACTGCACCTATCTAGCCTATAACATATCAATATATGTTTGATACATACTCCAGTCAATGGTTCTATGTATCAAGTTTCTGAACAGTCAGATGTGGAATCTAGCACATTGTCTGAATATTGAAAATCATGCAGGCGGCTGGCAGTCAAACACCCTGTAACACTGAGTCCTCGCTTCCAGTGAGGGATGAACGACCCAGTTCCTCCATGTGAGTGGGTGCGCCATGCCCTAATTCATCATTCCGCATGCCCCGCGGGCAACCTGGTATTTTTGGGACAGCAAGGCGCCTATTTAGACATAGTCGTGAAAGGGAGACAAAGAGACTCTCACGAGCCATCTCCTCTCCTCCACCAATGAGCTGACGGACCTTCTCCCTCCCCCTCCTCTCTCCCTACCATCCACCCTCCCTATCCTCCACCCTCCCAACCTTCAGCCCACCCTCCTAGCTACCTCCTTTCCCCCTGACTCGTGCTCCAGCTGCCCATTTCCACCATCACACCTCCCGCCCTCCCTGCTCTCATGCCTCACTCCCTCCCTGCTCTCATGCCTCGCTCCCTCCCTGCTCTCATGCCTCACTCCCTCCCTGCTCTCATGTCTCACTCCCTCCCTGCTCTCATGCCTCACTCCCTCCCTGCTCTCATGCCTCACTCCCTCCCTGCTCTCATGCCTCACTGCCTCCCTGCTCTCATGCCTCACTCCCTCCCTTCTCTCTTGCCTCAATCCCTCCCTGCTCTCATGCCTCACTCCCTCTTTGCTCTCGTGCCTCACTCCCTCCCTAGACAGACTCGCTCACTATTTTGTGTCGTAGGTTGTGCTGGGTGGAGTTGGTTTTGGGGCTGGAGGGCCCATTCACTCGATGTCCCTGTTTCCCCATCTCCAGGTTTGTGTCGCCTCGCTCCTTTGCGTACTTGATTGTGTCAGTTCCTCATTTCATTTTGAATACGAACTCACTCATCATTCTCTGCCTACTTGCGTGTTTGCGAACGGCTCTTAGGCGTGGTGGGATCCGGGCATCGCCAGCCTGCGACATTGCCAGCATTGGTGAAGTCGTTCCTTCAGTTGTGAGGACCCTTGCCTTCGCAAGGTACGTGCTTGGGTTTTTTGTGAGGGCGCACCTGCGCTATTTTCGCCACCCCTTTTCAAGGTTCAAAACCCTTTGAACCTTGAAGTAATTGTTTACTTTCGCTTTAAGGGTTTCAAATTAGTAACGTAGCTCAGATTGTTCGGACTATTCACGTTATTTCAACCGTTTTCGCCTCAACCACCGGATTCTAGTAAGCCATTATTTTAGATGACCCCGACAGATGTAGGTGTACAACGAACTAAAACATTCGCAGAGTTACTGTATTTGTGTGTCCTTCCCACCAAAACCCATGCTCACCTACTTCAGTCCACGCGCCTGCCAGTCCAACGAGTGAGCGGCACCAGCCAGTTGCATCAATCCCCAGCGCACGCCTCAACTCTGTCACGGCTGGACTTGCATGCGCCACGTCGTTACCTCGTAGGCCCTCTACCACGTTCTTGTCGCGCCATTAGCAACGCTGCGCTACTAGCAACGCTGCGCTATTACCGGCGCCGTGCAATCGGCACGGGTGGCAACGCCGCGGTCGCCAGCCATGTGGAGGGCGGCAGGAGGAGCGCCTGGCTCCCGGGGGCGGGGGGATTCCCTTCCCGCTGCACCTTCCCGGGGCCAGGGGCGCGCGGAAGCAGATGGCGTAGCAGACGCGGATGGCGGGGAAGTTCAGCGTTACGGGCAGGCGGAACGCGGCGGATGGCAGGAGGCTAGTGGCGGGGCTTATGGCGCACCGAGTGGCGGGCAAACGTACGGCGACGAGGCCTACGGCGGAACTGGCGGAGGGAGGCATGGCGGAGGGGGCGGGTTTCCGCCTGCGGAGATGTACGGATGGGGATACGGGGGAGGGGGAGCTGGCGGGTACCGGGGCGGGGAAGATGGGGGGGGGTATGGCGGAGGGTATGGGGAAAGCTACGAGGGAGGATGCGGAGGTTACATGGAGGGAGGGGGTGGGCATGGTGGAACGATGGGGGCGGGCGGCGGATTGATGGGCGAGGAATGGGGATATGCGGAAGGGAGTGGATGGGGAGCGCGGGAGGGAGGCGGAGCTCATGAGGGTATGGCGGGGGACGGTGGGGAAGGCCTGGGGGGCGCTCTGCGCCGACGAGGGGATGGGAGGAGGCAGCAGGCGCAAGGAGAAGGAGGAGAGGAGGAGGAGACGAAGGGAACGATCGGGGGAGGTTGGTGGCGGCTGCTTGGGGGAAGGAAGGGCGGTCAGGGGGAGAAAGATGGAGACGTGGGGGGGGGAGAACAGGGGGGGTGGAAAGGGGGCGACGGAGAGGGGAAGGGAGCGCGGCAGCATGGGGGCATGGGGGGTTATGGAGCCTACCCATCGGGCAAGAGGGTGGGGGAGGGGGAGTTGGGGGGGTATGGCATGCATGGGGAAGGGGGGTATGGCACACAACTGGGAGGGGGTGGTGAGATGTATAGGGCAGGGGGTTATGAGGAAGGGAGATACTGGGGAAGAGAGTATGGGGAAGGGGGCTATGGGGAAGGGGGCTATGGGGAAGGGGGTTATGGCGGGGTGGTCAGAGGAGCAGATGGAGCGGGTGCGAGAGGCATGGTGCAGCGCACTGCGTGTGCTGGCCCTGCTGCTCCTGCTCATGCTGCTGCCGAATTTTCTCCTGCTGCTGCTTCCGGGGAGGGGGGCGAGCTGGCAATGGGGCCAAAGTGGGGGGATGCAGGAGTGGGAGATGGGGGCACGGTAGGGGCTGGCGCAGGGAGGGAGGGGAGTGCGGGCAGTGGTGAGGCAGCAGGGGTGGCAGCAGCAGGGGCGAGGGCGGCGGTGGTGGACACGGCGGTGCTGGAGCGCGCGGGCATCATGACGAGCGGGCTGACCACGGCGGGGTTCAAGGCGCGCAGGAAGGGGCGCCCGCTGGTGCACGGGCGCGAGGGCGGGTACGATGACGAGGGATGGAGCCCCGGGCCCGACAGCAGTAGGGTCGTGGGGTGGGGGACTGACGAGCGCGCGAGTGTTACGGGAGGGGAAGGGGGGAGTGCGGAGGGAGAGGAAGTGGAGAGAGTGGAAGGAGCGGAGGGAGAGGCAGGGGATGAAGGGAGCGCGGACGCAGGGGAGGGGGGGAGTGGGGGCTCGGCAGCAGGAGGGGACGAGGAGGGCAGCAGAGGGGGGAGCGATGGTGAGGCAGAGGAGGAGACGAGGGAGGGCGAGAGGCATGAGGAGTCAGCGCAGGAGTGGGGCCCTGCAGCCTCACCAGGCGAGTGGGGACAGTACCCCTCTCACGTGCCTCACTACCAGTACCCCGGGAACCACCACCACCCCGGTGGGCAGTATGCGCGCCAGCAGCCGCAGCCGCAGCACGCGCAGCAGCAGTGGGGGCAGCAGTACCCCAGCGACCAGCGCCATGCGCAGGGAGGCCACCCCTCGCCTGCTGCTCACTGCTCATACCCGCACGACCAGTGGCAGCAGCACGGCCCACACTCGTATGGCGGCTACAGGGCTTATCCTGGCGAGGACGGCCCTCTCCCTGCTACGGCCGGTTCTGCTGCTGCCGCTGCCCCCACCCCTGTGTCGCACAGCCCCCTGACAGGCAGTCCTGGCGCCCCCCCCCATGCACTCCACGCCCCTGCCAGCCAAGGGGCTGGCGCAGGGGGGTGGCGATGGGAAGGGCCAGGGGCAGGAGAGGGTCTGTGGGGAGCCGTGCCGGCAGTGGGAGGAGGGCGGGGGGGAGGGAGGGGAGGGGCTCCAGGGAGTAGGGGGCTGAGGCGGGGGAGGCAGGCAGGAGGGGGAAGCGGGAAGGATTCAGGGAGCGACAGGGGGGAGGGGGGGGGAGAGATGGAGGAGGGGGGACGAGTGGCAGGGGCAGCAGGGCCGGCTCGCCAGGACTAGGGGGAGGAGGAGCGGGGAAGAGGCTGCGGGGGGCGAAGGCATGGCGGTGGGCGGTGCAGTGGCACGTGTGGCGGCTGCAGCAGAGGCGCCAACTGTTGCAGGGCGGGCTGGCGGCGCTGGCGCTGCTGCTGCTGGCAGGGGCGCTCGCCTCACTCGCTGTGTCGTGGGGGCGCGGAGGGGGGGGAGTGGGAGGAGGGGAGCAGGGAGGGGGTGGGGGGGAACTGAGGCTAGGGGAGGGGAGGGAGCGGGCAGGCGACGGCAGAAGGGAGCAGGGGATGGGAGTGTTGTCTGGGAGGCACAAGTGGGGGAGAGGGGCGGGAGGAGGGAGGGGCGAGCGAGGGAAGGGTTTACCTCGAGTGGCACTGGGGGGGGCGAGTGTGACGGGGCGGCGGGGAACGGACGTGTATGAGGCAATGAGCAAGGGGGAGACGATGGGCGAGTGGGACAAGGGCCTGGGGCTGCAGGTGGACGTGGGTGCGCTGGGCCGGCACCCGCACAGCACGAATGTGTGAGTCACTCTTGTGTGAGGGCCCCACGCCGACTTGCTCTTCACTTCTGACCTCGCCTAACTGCCTGTCACGTTTGGCTCACGGTGTGCAGCTCCACGTGAGCACAGCCGTCCACCAGTGACGTTCATCTCGCCCTCCTGCATGCTTCCTTCCTTTAAACGTCTCTCACGTGCTTCCCGCCCTGCCTTTTAGCATCACCCGTGCTGAGCCCCTCATGTGTGAATCCCACGTCCTGTGTGCGGCACGGCATGATGGTGCGGTCCTCACAGCAGCAGCGACGGGGGCCAGGTGGTGCTCAAGCGCCGGTCAAGGGAGGGCAGCACGGGTTGGGGGCGGGCACGGGAGCGCTACGTGTCGGTGGTGGTGGCGCACGCCATGCAGACATGGCCGCGCATCGACTTCTCCCTCGCCGACGCCTTCCAGGTGCCCTCTCACGCCTTCCAGGTGAGGCAGCGCCCTCAAGCGGATAGGATCGCATGAGTGATTTACCCACCGCTTGTACAGTATCACTCCAGAATCTGGGCACATCAACAAACAAAACAACGAGGTAGCTCTCCCTTTGCCTGTGCCCATTGCCTGTGCCCATTGCCTGTGCCCATTGCCTGTGCCCATTGCCTGTGCCCTTGTTCCTTCGCTCATCTCCGCCCTGCTATTGCCTCCAGTGGCTGGAGTTGGCGCGCTACAGCGGCATGTCGCACGTGTTTTGGTACGACATGTCTGACGACCCCCGGGATAGCATGGTGAGCCATGGGGGTGGCATGGTGAGCCATGGGCCTGGCGTGGTGAGCCATGGGGCTGGCATGGTGTGCCACTGGGCTGACATGGTGTGCCATGGGGCTGACATGGTGTGCCATGGGGCTGGCATGGTGTGCCATGGGGCTGGCATGGTGTGCCATGGGGGTGGCACAGTGAACGATGGGGGTGGCACGGTGAACGATGGAGGTGGCATGGTGGGTGGTGGGGATGCAAGAGATGGGATGGAGAGTCACACGCATGCATGAGTGAGGTCACGACACCCATGGCAGTGCTCGACTGGAGGGTCAATCATTTCGCCTCATTGCAGATACACGTTTTTGGTGTCCAAGCTTGTGTCAAGCAGCATGCAGCATGCAGCTTCCATCTCATCACTCTCACGCGCAATCATCCCACCATGCTGCACCACCCCTCAGGAGGCGGCCTTAAAGCCCTACGAGCGCGATGGCTTCGTCACCTACCACCACTTCCCCTCGCTCGCTCCCTCCCTGCCCGCCCCCCACCTCGCCAGCCCCCGCGATCAGGTGCGCCCTCTTCTGCAAACCGTGTGCCTTGAACCTTCTCCTCCTTTTCCTCTTCATCCTCTTATTACGTTCTCTTGATTGGTCACAATTCTTTTGATGTTAGCTAGCCTCCCATGTCTGCGTTGCTCTCCCTACATGTACTAGATTCCTTTGCACGCCTTTGAGTCTCCTCCCCTAAGCCCCTTCCCCTGAGGCCTTGCACCGCAGCCTCGCAAGCCACAGCGGTCGCCGCCCCTCATCCCGCTGCACCACCACACTGTGCTTTACGTCGCCTTCTGGAATGCCTCCTCTCCCTCCCCTCAACCCGCTCCCCCCCGGCGCTGCACCACTGCCTCACACAGAGCACGGCCTGGCAGACCATCCCACCCACAGCCCTGTGGTGTGGGACATGAAGCCCGCATGTCGGGTTCCTAGAAGCACGACTTGCACAGCCCTCCCTCCCCCCTCCTGGCTTCCAGGCGCTGCACCACTGCCTCACGGAGCACGGCGCCACCACCGTGTGGCTGCTGCCGCTCACCCCAGTGGACTACCCCTCCGTGCCGTCCGACATCAAGCCGGGCTTCGCTGACCGCTTCCTGCGTGCCTACGAGGCGCGCCACCCCTCCGCCGCCCAGCTGCTGCTGCAGACGTTCCTGTTCCTGGGGGCTCCACAGGTGCTTTCACCCCTCTGCCTCTGCCCCTCCGCTTCCCTCGCCTCCCCCTCATCTCTCGTCTTCTCTGCCCTTTTTCTCCCCCTCTCCATTCCGCTCCTCTTTGAACTCCCCTCCTGCCATCTGCTGCCTCCCCTACCCTTCCTTCCGCATACTCGCAATTTCTGTGTTGCCTTTTTCGTCTTTTTGCCCCAACTTGCCCATATACCCAGCCCTGTCGCCCCTGACTTGCTTCCCAACCCTCCCATCCTCCTCTAATCCACCCTCCTCTTATCCACCCTCCTCTAATCCACCCTCCTCTTATCCACCCTCCTCTAATCCACCCTCCTCTAATCCACCCTCCTCTAATCCACCCTCCTCTTATCCACCCTCCTCTAATCCACCCTCCTCTAATCCACCCTCCTCTTATCCACCCTCCTCTAATCCACCCTCCTCTAATCCACCCTCCTCTAATCCACCCTCCTCTAATCCACCCTCCTCTTATCCACCCTCCTCTAATCCACCCTCCTCTAATCCACCCTCCTCTAATCCACCCTCCTCTAATCCACCCTCCTCTTATCCACCCTCCTCTAATCCACCCTCCTCTAATCCACCCTCCTCTTATCCACCCTCCTCTAATCCACCCTCCTCTAATCCACCCTCCTCTTATCCACCCTCCTCTAATCCACCCTCCTCTAATCCACCCTCCTCTAATCCACCCTCCTCTAATCCACCCTCCTCTTATCCACCCTCCTCTAATCCACCCTCCTCTAATCCACCCTCCTCTTATCCACCCTCCTCTAATCCACCCTCCTCTAATCCACCCTCCTCTTATCCACCCTCCTCTAATCCACCCTCCTCTAATCCACCCTCCTCTAATCCACCCTCCTCTTATCCACCCTCCTCTAATCCACCCTCCTCTAATCCACCCTCCTCTTATCCACCCTCCTCTAATCCACCCTCCTCTAATCCACCCTCCTCTAATCCACCCTCCTCTAATCCACCCTCCTCTAATCCACCCTCCTCTTATCCACCCTCCTCTTATCCACCCTCCTCTAATCCACCCTCCTCTAATCCACCCTCCTCTGATCCACCCTCCTCTAATCCACCCTCCTCTAATCCACCCTCCTCTTATCCACCCTCCTCTAATCCACCCTCCTCTTATCCACCCTCCTCTTATCCACCCTCCTCTAATCCACCCTCCTCTAATCCACCCTCCTCTAATCTACCCTCCATTCTCCCGAACCCTCCTGACTCTCCTCCCCCCACTCCTCTCTCTCTCCCCTTATCCTCCGTCTCCCCCTCAACCCTCCGACGTCTCCGCACCCTTCGCATCCCTCCGCCACGCCTTTCATCACACCCTCGTTCCCCGGGCCCCCCCCTCCAGAACGCCTCCTCGCCCCTTATCCAGCGCTACCAGCGCCGCACCAACCAGTCAGACGGCGTTTCGCTGCACCCACAGGCTCGGGTTGTGCCGGTGGTTCGGCCGGACCTGGTGGCCCGGGTGCTGTGGCGCAATCCGAGCCACCTGCTCATGACACGTGGCAGCACTATGGCGTTGCCAGCTGGCGCCATGCGGGTGAACCGATTCGCGAGTGCACTGCAGCAGATGCCAGGCACAGGTGATGCGGCCGGGTGATCTAGAGAGAAGCACAGATGAGCATGGGCAGGTGGTATGTGTGCACGCACAGGTGAAGGAGATACACGCATTTGAGGAGGGACGGTTGGGAAAGAGGGCAGAGGAGTGGAAGGGGAGGGGGAGTGGCTAGATTGGTTGGGAAACGACGAATGGTCATTGCGTGGTGTGGGGAAAGGCACATGATTGAGGAGGTAAGGGAAGGAGGAATTTCACATGGTTGGCAAGGAACATGGTTGGCAAGGAACATGGTTGGCAAGGAACATGGTTGGCAAGGAACATGGTTGGCAAGGAACATGGTTGGCAAGGAACATGGTTGGCAAGGAACATGGTTGGCTAGGAACATGGTTGGCAAGTAACATGGTTGGCAAGGAACATGGTTGGCAAGGAACATGGTTGGCAAGGAACATGGTTGGCAAGGAATGGAATGGAAATACTGTGTGCATGGTTGTGAGGGCCCAGGACGGATTCAAGTGTGGGGACTCGGGTGCGAGCTCTCTCAATACGCTTCTGCAGGGTGTCCAGTTCGTCCCACCTCGCATGCCATCTTGCCACTCTTAACAACCCTTTCCTAAACTCTCTCCAATCGCACATTGTTCTCCCCTTCCTCCGTGCCACTATGCCATGCGCACAGAGCCTTCCACCGACATGGTTCTGGACGCGTCGCTGCAGCCACTGGTGCCGGAGCTGGCGATGATGGTGGAGAGGAGCAAGCAGGCCAGCAGAATCAAACTCCCCGGTGCTGCTGCACGCAGCACTCTTGGTGGCTTTGGTTGGTTCAGAAGCTGAGCGAGCAGTAGGGACAAGCATGAAAAACGCTGAAATATGAAGCATGGTTTATTTTATTTTCAATGGAAATCCGATTGTTTCCAGACTGCTGTTCGTAAAACCTTAGGCACTGCAACTGTCATTAGGGCCCCACCTCTGCAATTGTACCCTCAAGCAGCAATGTTTGTTCACAAACGAATCCATGCCTTGGGCACCTTCAACTTTAGTTTTCCACGTTGGACAGTGTAATCCGTTTCCTTTTATAAAGCCCAGATCCCAAGTTGCAAGGCGCGAGTTTTTTTGCTAGCAATATCGTAGCGCAAAAAAGTGGGTAACCACATGCACCCAGATGAAACTGAGCAATGACGCAGTGGCTGTAAAAGGGGGCTCGTGATTGGTCGAAGGCAAGCAAACACCTTCGCCCAAGCAGCCCAACCCCCCGGCTGTCTCTCAGCTCAAACAGCTGAGGGAAAGTTGCTATCAAAATTTGTAAATTGGGACCCAGGCGAGACCGACTAGTGACTAGAAACTAGCCAGCATACGAGGTTTCTCACGCGCGTAGCCAAGCCTACACAAAACTGCGCGCCATAAGGAATGATAGCCATAATGACGCAGATCCCGCGACGACCGGCTAAGCAGTGCGAACCGCGCATAATTCATCCCGAGGGACGAAGTGACGCGGGAGCAGGGACGGAGAGACGCGAAAGCAGGGACTGAGAGACACGACAACAGGGACGGAGAGACGCGATAGCAGGGTCGGAGTGACGCGATAGCAGGGACGGAGAGACGCGACAGCAGGGACGGAGTGAGGCAGCAGGGACGGAGAGACGCAAGAGCAGGGACGGAGAGACGCAATAGCAGGGACGGAGAGACGCAATAGCAGGGACGGAGAGACGCGATAGCAGGGACGGAGAGACGCGATAGCAGGGACGGAGAGACGCGACAGCAAGGACGGAGAGAAGCGACAGTAGGGACGGAGAGACGCGACAGCAGGCACGGAGAGACTTGATAGCAAGGACAGAGTGATGCGATAGCAGGGACGGAGGGACACGATAGCAGGGATGGAGTGACGCGACAGAACCTACCAAGTGACGCTATAGCACAGAGTGGTTGAGGCGAAAGCAGGGAGGAAGCAGCGAGGGAAGGGGAGGGAGAGAGGAGTGAAGGCGCGGGAGGGAGAGCATCGCCAAAAAGTTGCGCTCGCAAAACGATTGCGTAGCATTCGCGCGAATGCTACGCAAACGTTTTGCGAACATGTGGGTGAAAATTCCTGGCGGACTTAGATTCGAACACTTGGCGAATGCTTTGGCAACATTTCCCGAAACACTTTTTGGTTCACGACAGTGAATGCTTAGCGGTGTCTTGTCGGTAATCTCCGTGGTTCGTTTACATCTGCATGGCGGTGTTATGTCAACAACTTCTGCAGTGAACTTGTAAATGCATAGAGAAGTGTATGCTGACGATTTTTAGTATTCAGCATGATTTGTTGCAAACGTTTGGCAGTGTTTTTTAGGGATGCATTTATGCAGGCTGCAGTACTCGTCAGGGCATGGTTCATTACAATTAGGGAATGCCTCGTTTGGATTTAATTGCAGTAAAACAAGCTAATTATTTGATGTATTAAAAAAACATCTACACCACAGTACACAACCACTATGGCCCAATCGCCCATGCCTGCCAGCACCCCTATGTGGGTCCCACCAATAACCAGCTTCCCAAGAGCCTACTAACCCCCATCTCCGTGGCAGCTGCTGATGCGCCATTTCCGGTAGGGCAACTACTGTGCCCTCAACCCACATGCCGTTAGGCCTGCGTACTTCTGCCACTGTTGATTGCCCGCCATCTCCCATGATGGCTGCCCATGTCACCTTCTACTGCTACTACACTCACACCCTCTCCGCTGCCTCCCATGTCTCTGCCTGTCCCTGCCTACTGCTGTCGCGTTCGCCCATGCTACTGCAAAGATCCACCGTAGAGCCCCGCCTGAACCTGCCCCCCTTAAAACCTTCAAGTACACAATTCCTGCCCTATGCCCGTGAAGCCACATGCACCTGCTATGGCCTAGCCTATCAAACTGCGTCACGTCCTGCTGCTGCTGCACTCTCACCCAATCTGCCTCCTGATGGTACTGTGCTACTTGACAACTGCTTCGGCTTCAAGAACTACCCCGGCCAGGATGATTGGCCGCTGGCGCCCTTGCTGCTCCGATCCAGACCCACCTTCTCCGTGTCACCACCCCTCACCCCTTTGTCCCCTGCTCCTCCACCTTACCCCTGGTCGCGTCCTTGCCATCCGTTTTCCTGCCAGTCTTCCCTTTCTTGTCCTTCCAATACTCCTCGAACCCACTCTCATGGATGTACAGGCCGTGCTCCCCCCACTTGAACCCCTTCATTTCCCTGTTGTACTCTCTTGGGTGCTCGTCAAACCACTCAATCACCACCTGGCGCACGAGCTTGCGAACAGCCTCGACCCATGCCTTGTTCTTGGGGTGGGAGTTGGATAGGGCCATTGTCTGAGTTTTGACGTGCGCCAGCCCGTAGTCGACCTGTCATGGGCGGGGGGTTGGGAAAGGTAAAGGGAGGGGGGGGGGAGGGGGGGGCATATGTAGGGGGAAACAATGTCATCAGCAGCGGCAAACGTTCCATCGAGCACCCCATCAAGGCCCATCCCACAGCCAGAACTCACCACCATGAGGATCCAGGCAACGTGGTACGCCTTGAAGCACAGCTTTGCGCCCTGTCGCCACTGCCCAAACCCCTCCACAGCCGCGTCGAAGAAGAGCAAGTTGGCGAAGGGCTGGCCGCTCTCCTCACCCTCAAGTGACTTGGCGTTGCCCCATGTGCTAACCACTTGGCCGAGCTCAGGATCTGGGGGGGTTAGAAGAGGGTAGCATACGCGACCGAGGGGTTTGGGGCCGTTTCCAAGGGGCCGTGCACACCATGGTTATAAGAGGCATGCATGGGCCGAAACAGCAAGTCACGTCACTCACCGGGCATCCAGCCCCCCCACAATTTCCTCTTGACCTTCAGGTCAAGGAGGATCTTGCAGGCGCGGGACCACTTCAGCTTCACTCCCAGCGCGGTGAGTACGAGGCGCTTGATGGCAAAGGCGCGCTCGTTCTTCCAGACCGTCCATACGCGTTTGAACGGCTTGTTGTAGTTCTCATTGTTGAGTGACTCCAGGATCTCCACAAGAGTGACGTCGTAGCCCAGTATTATATGATGTTAATGGTTGCCGTGTATCGTGTTCTTCAACCGTCGGCCCCAATTTGGTGTATCGAAAGACCTCTACAATCTCGGATGTGATGTATGTTTGGACAGCTCAGCGCAGGGTCGGGCACATGCACGACCATCGAACACTGCCCGATACTGCAAAACCAGTGGTGGAGTCGTCGTCCCACCAGTGGCTCAACTCTAATCGCCGAAGGTATCCTCGTGCAAAACTTTTATGTGCCCACCCAACCCCGCCCCCATCAGATTTTTGGGCCCATCTGCTCCACGCCCGTCTTGAGAAAACCTAGGAGAATGCATCACCAATCTCAGAGTGCCCACCATAACGCACTAGTGGAAGGCCTAAACATATTCTGCTCCCCAGTGTCGCTCAGACTGGTAACCAACTCGTTTACACTCTTGTGGAACTGCGTGGCTAGCCGACACCGCCGAGCGGGCCCATTTGTTGGGTTTTTAAATCTCGTATCAACCATTTAGTGCCGGTCTCGTTTTGACTACTCCTTGGCTCGGTAAATAGCCACCGTTGCGGCGCAAAAGCAGGACTCATGTCGGGGCCTAAGATTCCGTCCTCCACAGCCTTCAAATCGTTCAGCATGCCCCTGCTGAACAGTGATGGGTGGTTCCTTGTCGAAGAGAGAGACGCGAACACGCTTCGGGGGAGAAACTGGATCGCAGGAGCCCTCATCGACTGGGTGGGACTGTAAGTTGCCTTGCCAATGTGGTGCATCGCGTGGCTAATAAAAGATGATTCATTAATCATAACAGCATTTCCCCCGCAGGATGCTGAGCTATGAGTCCACGGAGAGCGAGCCAAAATGGCTATACACGTCGACCTATTTCTGGGAGGTTGCACGGCTCAACGCGGATGGGCATTGGAGGCGGGATGGTCTAAAGGCGGACCCTCTCGAGTACTCATTTGTCTTCATCCCCGTGCACTGGGAGTGAGTCATCTGACAGTATCAGCATGGTAGGTCACAGTCCAAGTACGGTGCAGTTCCGCGGAACAGCAGGCATCCGCGCTGCTGCCGGGCCCCGACAAAACAGCTGTCATTAGCACCGGGCAGGCCCGACCGACTCGCAAAGTGTTCAGGTATCAAGTGTCAATGTTGCGCACGGTCAGCATGTCACAAATTTGCCAGCAGAACGTCTGCAAAGTTTTTGCTCAAACGTTCCGCAAACGTTCCACATGTCAAGGGCTGCTGTTTGGCCGCGCACATATCTATCATTCCCTATTGATATCGCAGACCCCGCCCCATGACGGCTTCTGGCAGATCACACTGGAGCTTGCTGGTGCTCCATTTGCGACACAACCCGCAATCCCCGACGCCTCTGGACGTGCATATCTGGCACGCGGATTCAAAGGACCTGCATGGGGGCGCGGATGCACCAGTGCGTGAGTGAGTTATGTAGGTGCCCCATCCACTAGGCTCCAGGTTGACCAGGCTCCCCGGTTGTAATGTTTTTCCAGTATCCAACCATTGCAGGTACCTGCGGCACCTTGTCGTCCGACGTTTTCCCACGTTCAATAGGGTGGAGGCAAAGGATTGGGCAGCATCCATACCCTTCACCCCAATACAGGTGCGCGCTAGGGGAAGGGATCCGGTAGGCCATGGGTGCATGAGGGATCCCCGTGCTGGTTCCATAGGTTTGCCGACCAACCTATTCCCGACCCTTGCCACCTGCCAACCGCACTTTATGCTGCCAGGTGCCCAAACAGGACGGGTCCGACGACTGCGGGGTTTACACCATGCGTTTCATGCACCATCTAGTGGAGTCGAGATTTGCTGATCTCGTGCAAATCGAGCTGGAGGGAGATCCAAGAGAGTGGCGGAGGCAGTACCGGCGAGACCTGCGAAAATGGTCAGTGTACTACAATGAGTACGAGCAGAAGCTTGCCAGCCTCTCAGATGTCACTGCGCCTGGGTGTTGCCTATAGGGGACGTTTAACCGATGTAATGCCATAAATGCATGTGTGCTGTATGAAAGGTTGCTGGATAATACCCCTTATTTGCATAGCTCGACAATCTAAATCGCGTACAACACACATCCCC